CGTGTGCAGGGCGCTGTGCCGTGTGCAGGGTGTTCTGCGTGTGCAGGGCGCTGTGCCGTGTGCAGGGTGTTCTGCGTGTGCAGGGCGCTGTGCCATGTGCAGGGTGTTCTGTGCTGGTGCTCTGTGTGTGCCGGTGCTGTGCCGTGTGCAGGGTGATGTGCCGTGTGGGGTGCGAGCAGTGCTGAGATGCGCAGATACGGGGCTATTCCGGGAAGCGGCTCCCGAGGCCCGGAGCCAATCACGCCATCTCGGCCGAGAGAACCAGCACAATCCCCCAGGGCTCACGTCAGGCGCCTCTTCTCAATCAGCCAGTACAGAAGGGTCTAGAAAGTGTCCATTCAACTGACAGAGGAAGGTGATTTCCACCTTCCAATAACCAGTCACTGCAGCCTGACAGGCCCAGAAGCAAGGCAAGTGCCCATCACACAGCACAGGACAGTCCCCCAGGTCAGGGAGTGAGCAGAGTCCTACCACACAGCACAGGACAGCCCCCCAAGTCAGGGAGAGAGACCAGAGCCCCATCACACAGCACAGGACAACGCTCCCCTTAATCAGGGAGTGAGGCAAGCACCCTACCAAACAGCACAGGACAGTCCCCCCAAGTCAGAGAGCGAACCTGAGGCCCATCACACAGCACCACAACCCTCCCCCCCCAGGCCAGGGAGCAAGGCCAGCACCCCACCACACAGAACAGGAGAGTCCCCCAGGCAAATCAGCAATGGCAACTGACCGTGATGCCATGGAGGTCAGTCCAGTTCACCAACTGTGTCGCTGGGCACAGTGTCCCCAGCACTCTGCACGTGCGTCCTGCCTGGAGACACAATGGCCCCCTGGCCAGCACCTTCCCTGCACTTGCCTCTCAAGCCCTTGAGTGAAGAGTGGACGTTTTCCCAGTTGTCACTTCTAACCAATTGTCCAGAGCTGGTCTCCAAACATGCCGGGCCACAGACCTCCAATCTGCCAGTACAGAGCGTGGCAGTGTGCTCTCCACGCACTGAAAAACTCACGTGTCCCCAGTAGACACGTGGAGCACAGGACCCACTCCAACAGGGAGGTGGGGCAGCCGCTGAGCAGAAGCCTTGGTAGCAGCGCCCACAGGCCGTCCCATCTCCCTGCACCGGGCTGGGCTCTCACCAGCGCCCACAGGCCGTCCCCCCATCTCCCTGCGCCGGGCTGGGCTCTCACCAGCACCCACAGGCCGTCCCCCCATCTCCCTGCACCAGGCTGGGCTCTCACCAGAGCCCACAGGCCGTCCCCCCATCTCCCTGCGCCGGGCTGGGCTCTCACCAGCACCCACAGGCCGTCCCCCCATCTCCCTGCGCCGGGCTGGGCTCTCACCAGCACCCACAGGCCGTCCCCCCATCTCCCTCATAGTGCTGGGTAAGTGGTCCAGGTCCCCAGCATCCTGCTGACCACACTGCCATGGCTGCTTGGCTGACCCCTAAAGAAGTGGTGGGTGTGTCTATGGTGGGATGGGGCACACACAGGTAGCGTGGGGTCAGTGCCTGTGTGGCAGTGCCTCAGTATCCCCTGCCCATCACCCCATCTCCTCAAACCTCTGGCCACTGGAGACCCTGTGACAACAGAGCAGATGCTGCCCACCCAGTGCGGGAGGTGGACCAGGACACAGAAGCTGTGACAATGGCCTCGCCTCACTGAACGACCACAGCAGAGGGCACAGGAGGAGTCCTTTCCCTCTCAGGGGACCTTCCAAGACAGCAGCCCACATTCTGGGTCCCCTGGTGCCCAGGGGGGTCCTCGAGACAGCAGCCTGTGCTCTGGGTCCCCTCCCACTCAGGGGGACCCCCCAGGATAGCCGCCCACACTCTAGATCTCAGCCTATAGCCTGGAAGTCAAAGCCACCTGGCTTTGCACAAAAGTTCATTCCAGCCGTGACAGGACATCGTGCCTCCCTCCAGAACTAGAATCTCGGTCCTTGCCACCAGGAAAACTGTATTTTTGATCAAAAGTCATAAAATTAATTTCTTAGACGTTATACACCATAATGAAAACTCCAATAAAGTGCTGAGAGTGCTACATGCACACACGTGTACACAGAGCACACACACATATACAGAGCGCACACACGCGCACACAGAACACGCAGGCTGGACCGGCAAGGGCGGTCAGCGCACGGCCAGCCTCTCGGCCAGATGCAGAGACAGAGGCGCACGGCCGCCCTCTGCTGGTCCCAGGGAGGCTGCACACCGGGCTTGCTTTAACACACATCACAGCTGCCCTTGAAAACGGGGTTTACAGACCCCCTTCCTCTCCTTCGCTCCCCCTCCCACCTAGCCCTGTCCCCTGCTGCCTGACCCTCCACGGGGACACAGCGTGAACGTGAGGTCAGCCTCACGCTCTTCAAGGGAACGGCTCACGCTGGGTCCACTTTCCTGCACTCTAGTGGGGTCCGGCCACCCAGGGGGACTATGTACACCACGCCCACTCAGGGAATGACCCGGGGTGACGCTGCAGAGCAGATGGAAGCCAGCGCTCCCCCCTAAGTCCCGGGTGGCCCTGTCCAGCCCATCTCTGGGGCCCCGGAGCACGGAGCTGGGGCCTGCAGGTGGGGCCCGCTTGGCCTTCGCATGGCAGTGGCCCAGCCCCTCTGGATGACCACCGCACCAGGGACCAGGGCGTGCCTGGTGCCCAGGACTGAAGTCGGCCTCGCCCGTCCCGTCAGCCAGTGCGCCGAGGATACTCCTGTTCCCCTTAAGCCCTGCTGTGGCCCTCACCTCGTCCCTGACCAGGCTCGATGGCCCCACCTGTGACATGCAGCCCCAGCCCAGGGTCCCTGAGCCTCCAGGCCACCTCTCCCCCTTATGTGGCCTGCAGGCTCAGATGTCACTGGGGGCGGCCTGCCTCGGTCTCCATAACCAAGCGGACAGTGATCTAGAGGTTCCTTTGTGCAGCTGGACCCGCGCTCGTGTGGCCAGCAGTGTGGTCAAGGGGGGAGCTGCCCTCAGGGAGCTGGACAGCTGCTGCGCCCAATCCCTTGTGGCTCCTGGAGCAGAATTCAGTGAAGGGACCAGCAACCCAACACCCCAGATGGTGACCACCAGTGGGCAATGGCTCCACTTTCAGGAATCTTCCGAGGGTCAGCTTCAATGGGCGTGGGGGGGGGGGACATAGGCTCAGTGATGGTGCCCTGGCAGCTCGGAGCCATGGCCAGACCTTCTGACCCTTTCCCCCCTAGAAGCTTCCACCTGGTCCCTGTGGCAACACCCCCTCTTCCTGCACAGGACCCCTCAAAGTCGCTACCCAGGGAGGACACTGTCCCTTCTGCTTATAACCAGACACAGAGAGGACAGTCCAGACACCGCTTCACCGAGGACGCCAGCCTGGCCCCGCAGGGTCACTGGCAGCCCTGCTCTGGCTGGCCACCTGCGGACACTCACCGGCCTCGTGCAACCCTCCTGAGGTTGGATGTGAAGCTCCTCGTACCTCCTCATGGCCACCTCCAGCTCCGTCTTGAGGTCAATGGCCTGCTTCAGCCGCTGGTCATGGATACCGGCACGCGTGAACAGCTGTGAAACGAGGGGGTAGGTTATTGACGCCCAAAGCATGAGGCCCACCCGCCAAGGGGCTGACACACCCAGACAGAGGACACAGGGCTGAAGGCTCGAATGGGGCTGGCCCAGCGGAGGGCACGTGGACGGGCTCCCCGGGGTCACTCACCTCCTTCCATCAAGTGTCACCTTCCGTCCCCGAGTTCACCTCCTCCCACCTCCACCCGTCCCCAGGGTCACCTCCTCCCTCCCAAAGGGTCACACTCCCATTGCCAGGGCCACTTCCTCCTGTCCCAAGGGTCACCCCTTCTATTCCCAGTTACCTCCTCCTATCTTCAGGGTCACCTCCCATCCCAGGGTCACCTCCTCCTGTCTGAGGGTCCCATCTTGGTTCAGATACCCCAAAGGTTGGGACCATACGCTCTGCGGGCCCTCTGCTCAGAGCCTTAACTCCCACGGGCTCCCCGCTGATCCTCATCTCTGACCTCTCGCTGGGCCTGATTCACAGCCGAGTCCCTGCCCACAGGAACCCCAGAGTGTGGAGCACCCCGGGCCAGGCAGCTCCTCACCTGCACCCAGGAGCACACACAGGGCAGGAACTTGTTCTGGATGAGCTTGAGTGCGTCCTGGGCACTGTGCACCACGGCACTGTTGTCCTCATCTTCCTGCACTTGCAAGCTGCCTGCAACAGAAACGGGGGGTCAAGGGCGCCAGGAGCCCTCGGCACACGACCCTGACCACACAGCCTTGACCCTAGACCCCCGACCACAGAGCCCCGACGGCAGGGCCACAACCACACAGCCCTGAGAACACAGCCTCGACCACAAATTCTC